TAATATTGGTGCTTGCTCAAGTGAACTGGAATTGGAAAGAAATCCTCATATTGATGAGGGAATGACACCCACCAATGAAGCTTTCGAGTTATTATTTGATAGCGATGATTCGGTGAAAGACAAGGATTACCTTCCAGAAAATTCATTGGATGGTTATGAGAGTGATGAATCTATTCCTCTTGCTGACTTAAAAAATGAAGTTAGGAAAATAAATTCTCAACAAAATAAAGAAAACATTAATTTGGAAAATAAAATGGAAAATAGGGACTCTGAACAGGCGAATGAATCCCAACAAAAAAAATAATTTGGAAAATAAAATGGTAAATAAAGACACACGTTGTTTGTAAACAATTTTTCCTAGCAACATTGGGTTGAGTTGAAGAACGTCAAAATTCTGAGGAATTTAGTTGTTCATAAAACTACAGAAAAAATAATTCCAAAAAATGATGGAGAGAGGCTCATAATAAATTCAATACCGATATTATTATTAGCCACATTGAATCATTCAAACCAACAATATCGCCGAGAACATGCACCAAGAAGGTTATATTTGCCTAGTGATATAACAATACAATTAATGAATGAGAAATTCTGTACTGATTATCCCCAACATCATATTTCATATGAACTTTATAAACGGGAGGTGGCAAAAAAAATATTTCTTTCTGTAAACTGGGCCATGAGGAATGTTTTGCTTGTGAATGTTTTTTAATGCATCAGAAAAGTTCAAACCATTCAAATTTGCTGAAACCCAACATAACTTGTGATGTATGCAAATCCTACATGCAACATAAAAAAAATGACTCGTCTAGAATCGAATACTCATCAGATTCAGACCCTCAAAATCAGGATATTTGTTTTTCTGCTGCCCTTCAGAAGGTATTTGAAATATATATATATATATATGTGTGCGATATGTATAAAGAAATCATATTCGTGCCTCGAATTATTGCTTTTCACGAATCGTTTGTTCCTGGAGGAAAAAGAGCAAACAAACAAAATAATTGATAATTGTTATCTTATTGCTTGTATTTGGCATGAGGGAATAACTGGTCGGAAAAAGGAAGATATAATTTCCACGTTTTATGCATTTTTTCTTGAAACGCGTGATTGCAAAAAAATTACTGTATGACTTGATAATTGTTCTGGCCAAAACAAGAATTGGGCCTTATTTTGTTTTTTCATTTATGTGGTGAACTATGACTTGGTTAACTTAAATGACCTGAAAATAAAATATTTCGAGCCAGGCCACACTTTCATGTCGGCTAATTCTTTTCATCATGCAGTTGAGACCCAATTGAAAAGAAAAAGAAAGGTCTATTTTCAAGACTTCAAAGAGTGTGTACAAAATGCTCATCCCAAAGCAAAAGTGATCATCGACATGAGTGGAAGTATTGAAAACTTTTTCGACTGGCCAGATCACACATCTTTACAAAGCTGAAAAATTCGAATCCTAGACCATATATGTCTGATATCATACATTTGAAGTTAAAAAGGGATGAGAAGACCTTACAATACCGAAATTCTTTTGCAGATGACTTCATCACATTGAACTTTCTGAAAGCTAATCAAATGAAAAGTGATCTGAGTTGCCCCTCTTTCAAAAAAAAAAGCTAAGAGGAATATCGAAAAAAAGGAAGTATACTCTTCTGCACAAGCTGTTACCAATTCTACCAATCCCCAGGTGACAGTTCTGGGAAAATTTTCCTGAAGCGAACGGCGACGAGGAGAGTAGTATTATTGATGATGAATAACTCCATAACCAAAATTGCATCCTCTCATTAGTTTTTATTCATATATGCGTATAATAATAAGCAGTAATAATATAATATTTATGTCCCATTTTACCCCCTATATATTTGTGTTCACTTACGACATTTTGTATTGTACTTTCGAATTTTTTTATAAAAAAATGAATTTATTTTTAAATTTTTTGAAATATCACAACGAAATACCACTGAAAAAATAGCATCCACCAATATGTACTCCCACCCCGAGAATAATCAATTTCCTATCAGAAATGTGGATGGCATTGAAATAAGTCTTAAAATGCGATTATCTCAAAATGATCAAATTGTCAGTTACGACCTTTTTCCTTAGCACGGCAGTATTGCTATGGATCGCTGGTTTGTCAGTTGCGATTTCTTCCGAAAATTGAAGACAGAATATAGACTCATCATCGTGGGTACAATAAAAAGCAATAAAAGAGAACTGCCGCAAATTTCAACACATACTAAAGATCGTTCTGTAGGTTCCTCCATTTTTGGGTTTGGTGTTCATATGATGGCATTCTTATGTACCCAGAAAGAGAATGTGCTGATGACATCTTCGTTTCACAACAGTCATACAGTCGATCCAATAACTGGTAAACCAGAAGTTATTTTATAATACTACTAAATGTGGAGTCAATTTTGTGGATAAAATGAGCTCGTTATAATGTTGCAAGGAATACTAAACGATGGCCTTTAGTTGTGTTTTACGGTATTTTGAACATTGCTAGCATAAATGCATTCATAATTACCAGGCACAACCACCCGAATCATAAACAGAGAAGATTATCAAGAGTTTGGGTTTGGAAAAAGACTATATGCAGTCCAGAGTTAATATGTCAGGTTGACATTCCTACATTCGAAATGCAATAGCTAAACATACTGGAATCGACACTGAAGAAAAAATCTGACCCTCCACCCAACAAAAGAGGGCACCGCAAGTATTGCAAAAAGAAAAAAAATCGTTATTTTTGTAAATTTTGAAAAGCTTGGCTCTGTATGAGTCACATAATATTAAGTTGTAGAGAATGTGTTCAGTACCGGCCCTGAGGCCGGTACTGTCAATTCACGTCAATGCAGTATCTGCAGTGGCGCAGTAATTTTCAATTTTTTATTAAAATTTTGTTTTTTGTTCTTTTATTTCTCCAATTGACGAATTATTTCATCTCTGTATTCGTTACTTTTTATAATGGATTATTCTAACGCTAAAACCAAAAATCATGGTTTTTGCATTTGTCAGTTTTTTTTTGTGTTTACTATCAAAAGTAAATATATTGTTTCGACAAGTTATTGAAAATACCTTAAAGCAACCTATGGAAACAACTTTTTGAGAACATGCAAAAATTTGAGGTGAAAATTTGTTATATCTGAGTTGGTCCTAATAGACCACCCTCGCGTATGGGTGTTAGTCTGGCTGAGGTCGTTCATCGGAGTGTTAAAAGTTCCGCCATTTTGTAGTAGTTGAAGATATCGACATTATATTCTAGGGCTGTGAAGCATTTGTCAGGAGCTTCAAAAAGATGTGTCATAAGACCCTCTTTCCATTTAATTTTTTTCCCGGATGGCGCCCAGTTTGAAAGTTTCATCTGTCAATTTTACTTCAAAATAAAGTATTCATGCATTAATTTCATTATCCAAAATTTGAATTTTTTGAGTTGACCCGTTCAAAAAATAAAAGGAGGGAGGGACATTAATGAAAAGCACTGTATACTAAACAACCAAATTTTCAGAAGTAGCTGACATCAGGCTTTTGTCCTGTCCATACTTCATATGGCTTCTTTTCGGACAACGATCCCGAATATATTACTCCATAGTCACTGCTTCAGCCCAGAATGATGGGCTGAAGCAGTGCATAAGAAGACATGTAGTTTCATAAGAATCTGTTTTTCGTAACGGCTATAGCATTCTGTTCTAGGTTGTGCGGTACTGTTAAACGTCGCACAATACTACTCTCTTCTAGCAGGTGGTTGAAGTCTTCGCTGATATATTCTTTCCCATTGTCCGACTGAAGACATTTTATTTTCTTTTCATTTTGATTTTCGATCATTTTTATAAGATCTCTGGTCTTTTCGATGACTTTACTTTTGGAAGAATTAATCATCGCATTTCGCATCATCTTGAATGATCGTCATTGAAGGTTACGTGATACTTTACTTTGCCATTTAACTGTACAAGCATAGGACCAAACGTCCATATAAATGAGATCCAACTGTCGTCGTTCTTACAAACATCTTGGGAAAAGAAGTTCTTGTAATTTTTCCTCATTTTCAGCATAAAATTGAAATTAGAAATAATAGAAGTATCTTTCCAGGAGTTGAGACTTTTTAATGGGAAATTTCCTACTCTTTATGAATCCATTTTTCTCATTCTCATTTAACTGTATGCGCTTAGGATCACAAACATCCGTATGAATGAGATGCAACTGTCGTTGTTCTTTCAGACATCTTGGGAAAAGGAGTTCTTGTAATTTTTCCCCATTTTCAGCATAAAATTGAAATTATAAATAATGGAAGTACCTTTCCGGGAGTTGAGACTTTTTATGGGAAATTTCCTACTCTTTATAGAATCCATTTTTTTCATTCCTTAAATAATTATAGTTTTATTGATATCAACAAAAAACGGAATACCTTATTCTTCCTCAATTATATGGCTTATAACAATCGTAATTTTATATCTATTGTAAAATGCTTCATATACATTTTTCTAGAGTTCATTCCGAATCAAATTAACTTTTATTAACTTGTTGATTAGACTACTAACCCCAAAAGGAACTACTCTTTAATTTTTTTTATAATATCAAGATTATATGACTTCCTCCTTATACTTTCTTTGACCAAAATGTTCACAAAGAAGTACTGTATGTCTGAAATAATACATATATGTCTGACTAGAGATCTGATAATAAGATACATTAGTTACTTGAAAAATTAATTATATTTTTTTTATATATACACTATTTTCTTACTTCTCTGATAATTTACAATAACTTATAAACTATGTTATAAATTATACAGTATTGTAGTCAAACAAAAAAATCACATAATTACTTAAAAAGATTAAAATAAAACAAATTTAAATCTGAATACAAAAAATTCAATACATTTTTACACTGTACTTATAAAATACAAAATGATACGCTCTGATAATTAACAAAGTCACATGTGTACAATATAAATTAAGTAAAACAATTTTTTTTTGGTTTTCGCTTAGTTACGATTGAGACTTACCAAGTCCTTACCAGCAGTTAATATATTTGCCAAAATATGCTTGTATTGACAATTCATCCTTTCAATTATTCTACAAATATTTAAGGAAATGTTCAAAAAATTCGTGATGTGGCAATAAATAATCATATTCATAAAAAGTCATTCAATTCGTCATATGATTCAGGAAAAATCTGAAAAAGAATCACAAATATATGCATTTTTCACGAGCGCCGACAGAGAGGCAATCAGGCTTGCTTGAGTTTATTCCAATACTTCATCAATTTTCAATTCTTGTGTCACTATGAGGATCGCTTTTCCTATCAGTCGACGGTGTTTTTCTATCAGTTCTCCTACATATACTGTCTTCTTGCACCCCATTGGAAACAGTCTTAAGTTAAATAATTTTTACAAGAATTTTCACAGCTGAATAAACTTTTCAGAACCATTGAAGTAGAGTAATTTCAATCAGCCCTTTCCAATAAATGAGTGGTTAAGAACTGATCACTTCACAGTCACAAATATATGTGAACAGATAACAACATAACCGCTGGCAATCTTCATACTTGAATATATTTGTCCAATATTTACAGGAAAATGTACCTGAAAATAATAAAAGAAAATGTACAAAAATTGTTGTCTAAAAATTTCTTGGTACTCTAAGCAATTAATGAGAATTAACATTTTTCATTTCGATATTTTTTTATGTGTATGATATTAAAAATTATCTTTCAAAATTCAATCTACAGACATCCTACACATCTAATGGAAATTTAGGAAACAAGATTATTTAATGCCAAACCTAAATTAGACAAAGGGAAGAGATCTGGTATATATCCCTTAGAATGTGGGTTATCCTCAATGAACAACTTGATCTAAACAATAGTCCTCTCTTGAACCTATAATCGAGTCCCCAAAACCTTCAATTTATCAAATTTTTTTATGTTCATTGATATACTGCTATCAATCTAGGTTATCCCAGGTATAGACAATGTAGGTATCAAATTATTTATGATAGGTATAGGCAATGTAGGTATAAATACTCAGATTTGAATATAATCTAGTTAGTTTTGAAAATGGCGTTATGACAGAAACTAGTCAATAAATATAAAACTATCATGGAAAATAGACAAAAGTGTGTTTTCTAGTGTATTCTGTTTAAAATCTCCTCAGTAATAACTATTTATTATCCTTGATAAATCAAATTATTTTTTCACATTAATATAGAATTTGTTGTATGACAAATACACAATTTTCACAAACATTTTAAAACATGTAATAATTATCATGGATATTTTTATTAATTTTCATCAAGTAATGGGTCAGTCCATTCTTAATATCCTGTTCACTGGAGCATGAATATTATAATTAGTGTGAGAGATGCTTGTGTGAAAAAGTTGTGGATTCCTAGTCCGTTTCGCAGAAATTTCAGGATAATTAAGGTTATCTGAAAAAAGTTTGTGAAGAAGAAAAATGTTGAAGATCATATTCGTTTTTCAAGTGATTGAAGATTCACTTGTGAAAATATTTCGACATGAAGATAACTGCTGAAAGTAATAAGGGAATCCATTATTACAACAGATTATTTTTATTACCTATAATGGCGATAATGAGTATGAAGAAAATGAATATTTTTATAATGTCGATCAATACCAAGACTAATAGAGGAAAGTTTCCTAATATGGGGTAGTTTTTTTTCAAAGCACCATAATAAAAAAACGAAGGTAGTTTTAAGCATTATTTCATGTTTCGTTGGATATAATACTATCAAGCATTAAATAAGAAGAAACATGTTTAAATTAAAAATTAAAAAAAGTGCACTACCCCATATTAGGGGCATGTGATATCCCAATATGAGGTACACTATGTCCGCAATATGAGGGTACCCAATTTAATATGTAAAACTTCAAAAACAAGTAAAATTATTTTATTTTTCTTTGAGAAATATATATTTATGGAAACGCAGAAAGTATGTCTAACAAAAAGTTTCGTCCCTTATAAACATCTCATCTAGAAAGAACATGAAATAAATATTTAGAAATTGAAAAGTCACAAAATACCGAATTCTTTCACAACCAGCACATTCAACATGAGCCCATTTGAAACAACTAAGATTCATTACCCATTCTTCGCCTCTGCATGACATCTTCGGAGTATGGATTTTCGCAAAAAAATACAAACGGCATCTTCTTCAAAGTTTTCTACCTGCTGGTCATCTGAATCTTGATACTCCGGTTCAAGGGCCAAATCTGAAGAACTCCATGATACCAACTTGCGTTTGTTTTTTTTTTCTTTATTAACTGACTGTCTCTTTTACTTTTGGGTAGGTTTGATTTTTCTCTGCTGACTTGCTTTTAAATCATTAATCATTTTTTTGACACCAGAATTTGAAGGTAATTTTTTTTTCTATGCTGGCCTCTATTTCCTCTTTGTATGGAGTGCACAACTTTAATATGGTTGTTTTGGACTATGATTAGGCCGGTTTCATTACAGTTGAAGATCTTGGTTGGATTTGATTTATTTTTTCTAGAAGTGGATCAACAAATAAAAAAATGCTGCAACATTTTCTCTGGTAAATCATAAAATGCCCGCATATGATATTCCTTGAGGCGTTCTCAATGACAATTCTTTATGCCTTGCAAAAAATCCAGAAAACCATTTCTTCCCTACACTTTCTTTTACTACGCTAAATAAATTTTTATATTATTAGCCTTGTATAAGCTGTATGCCAATCTGCACACGTCTTTTCGAATAATTCCAAAAAAAATATTTCCATTTCTAAGTAGTGATTTGCGAGCATTGACTCCATTTCTTGTGGAAAGGCTATTTTTCGTCCTAACGAAGAATTTACAATGTCTTCAGGCGCTCCCTCCATCTTTACGTACCTAGGTCCTTTGACCCTAGGTCCTTTGACCTTAGGTCCGTGACCGTGGGTCTGCGCACTCTTCATGTTTTTGTATAAATGTGATGTTTTCTTAAAAAAACTAAAACCATTTCTTTAAACTAGGCTAAATACTATATTGAATGATATTATTGAATTTTTAAAAACTTACCTTTAATTTACCTTATATATCTAAAATGCAATAGTCACCAGAAACTTTTATTTATACACAATATTACCATAACCTAAATCGTCGAAACGGTACACGAGTTTGCTACGAAACGTGAATGGGCGCTTTCTAGGAAGTCGGTGGTTAGTTTTTAATGTTCACAATAGATGTCAGAACAAGTACTTGCTTGAAAACTACCCCATATTAGGCACTACCCCTATATTAGACGACTGTCCTCTGTAGTACAGAAAATAATTCATATTGAGATGAAAACATGTATTTTCAAAATCAAAATCGATACAAGGAAGAGCAATTCTATAAGGATTTTCACAATACCCTGTGTTTAGACAACCCATGTATCCAAATTACCAACAATCATTCCCTTATGCACTGTTTGGAACCTTTGGTGTAGTAATGAATATAACTGGAGTTTTTTCCCAACACCAAATCGTTATTTTTAACACCTCGACACGTGTCGAGGTGTTAATCTTCCTCTTTGAAGATGATCACCAAGTGATCATCTTCAAAGAGGAAGATTAATCTTCACTTGGTGATCGAAACACGGTCGAGGTGTTAAAAATTAACGATTTGGTGTTGGGAAAAAACTCCAGTAATATTCATTTTAACAATCATTCAGACAATATCAATCCACAATTACGACACAGCCAGTATAGAAACAAGTTATTAATAGACCCACCATCCGTACCACAATCAAAGCCGATAACCGACGAGCCCCGTTTGAATAATTAACAAAGAACAATTATTCGCATAAACCCGATTCTAAGCAACCTTTATTATATAATCGGTTTAAGCAACGTTAAGATATTGACACCGGAGCGGGAATATCAATTTCAAAAAGAATCTGTCGAGAATTATACAAAACGATAAGAAACGATTGAAATAAGCGGAGTAACAAAAGGAAAAGAAGCAATTACTGAATCCATATCAATACTTTTTGGCAAAAATAGATGAACATGCGATTTTTTGGAACATTTCGAAAGAGTAGTAGATATAAAAGATCAACAATAGAAATTAAATTACGCACAATCCCATTAAGAAAAGCAACAGAAAGGATAGAAACCAGAAGTGAAACAAAATTAGAATAATGTCATCTCTCAATAATTCTGAAACATCAACTGCTGAAATAATCGGTATTTTTGAGTATGACCCTGATAATTATTTCTTTAAAAGTGAATACGACTATTTCAAATATTAGATGAAATTTCCATTAAAAACATAAAAATCGAACCTAGAGAAGAAAAAGTATTCAAATTAAAATCAAAACTGAGAAACACAGAAGCTATACTGTTAGCTACTGAACAAGAGAAAGTTAGACTTCCATGTACTCTTGTAAAAATAAATAAAAATGGAGAATTTTTAGTAACAGTTGTAAATGGAAACGCAATATAATCTATTGACTTCTCAGACTTACAATTTGAAAAATTTAATGAAAATGACTTTCGTGAAATTTTTCCAAATCGTTCAGGAGAAATATAAAACTTACTTCGTTTAGAACACCTAAATAAAGAAGAACAAGATTTAATCGAAAACCTTTGATTAAAATTCTCAGATATATTTTATTTAGGTGTGCATTAACATTTAAGAATGTGAAATTGAAAGAGAACGCACAACCAGTCTCAACGAAATCTTATAGGTATCCGCACTGACACTCAAGACATGATCCGTACAAGCAGAAAATCTCAAATAATCCGAAATAGTCTAGGAGACTTGGTTAAACCGAACGCATTTTGAGGAGACCACTATGCCACTATGTTATGTGGCGTGTCCTTGTGGTCAGTTTAAATGTTATCTAACCTCGATCATCAATTATTTAAATAAAATAATTAAAAAACATCCTAGAAAATAGCCCAAACAAATTTACACATGAAAACGCATGAGTAACGAGAACAGTTATCAACAGTTCAGCCTCGAGAGCAAGAACGATTCGGTTCGAGACAGTTTAGGATCATTTCGCAGTCGAAACCAGAACAGAGGATTCATCAATCCCAAATTATTTTCAATAAACCAGAACGCTCTTTATCAACTGCGCATGATCCTGACGTCCTAGGATCTGAATTTCGTAGAACCAGAACAAACCTTATTAGAACAAAATATAATACGAACATCAGCCTCACCTTATTCAAACCCAATTTTGATAGAATCTAAAAAACTTGACGTATCTGAAAAACAGAAATGGCGCGTTGTAATCAATTATAAAAAATTGTATAAAATTACACTGGACGATAAATATCCTCTACCTAATATCTAAGACCATTTAGACCAGTTAGGAAAGTGTCAATACTTTGCAACACGTAAGCTGTATTTATGTTATGTTATGTTTATGTTACGAATCAAGATGATTAAACCCGAATGAAGATCGTAGCAATGAAAATCTCGACCGCGAAAGCCCTAACCATTAAAAATAAATATGATTTTACGAATCATATTTATTTTTACTAACGATCAATTTTTAGATAAGAAACATAAAGACGTAATTGTTTTTCTGCAAAGAAATAACCTCACTGAAATTAACGAAGATATTTTTGAAAAATATCCTGATTTTTTCTACAACAAAATCAACATTGTGCCTAGTAAAACGGTTGAAGATCGAAAATACTATTTAATCCCATTATTTTTTATCATGACGGAGCAGTAGAATACATGTTTAGCTCATTATACAAAGATCATAGTATATTCGTACCGAATAAAATATACCAACTTGAAACAAATGTAGGATTCTCAATACAAGAAATGCTATCCTATATTTTAGCCAACAAAGATGACATAAAAATACAAATGGAACGGTATTTCCAAAGACGTCGCGAGCCTGCGAGGTATGTCAAAAAACAAAAATTGCGGAAACAATTTAGAAAATCCCTTAGTAGTTACGGAAACCATCACAACGGCTTTTGAAAGAATGAATATAGATATTTTAGAAATTTCAGCAAGGAATTATGTGCTTACAATCAGAGATGAACTTACAAAATTCATCCAAGCATATCCTATACCTGATAAAACAACAAAATCAGTTGTAAACACCTTTTTACATATTTGCATAGCCTACATAACATATTTGCATATCCAACATAACATATATAACTACATAACATATTTGCATATCCGAACATTGGATGCGTGAAAATAGAATATATAATTCAAATCTAAGGAATTACGTGCCGGTTATCCACAAGTGAACATAGCATAATCTACCAAATCACAATTTTTTGAAGACAATATCTGTAAGTCTGATATCACTTGGTCTTACAAAAATTAAGAATGTGTTGATATCATGTTCGAAAACTATTTTGCACCTTTCCAGTGGTGCTTTGATGCAATAATTCCTAAACAGAAAATTAAGTCACGGAAATATACTAAAACCGTATACTAGCTTACTTAAAATAACTTCATGCAGAATTATAACATCTAAAAAAAAATCAATTGATTATGAAAACATTCAATAATTAAGAAGCAAATTGACTATTAAGAAGTAAAAGAACTACTATTCTAATATAATAGCCAACTCTGATAACAAGGCAAAAACTTTTTGGAATTTGACACAGTTGGTTTTGAAATTCACAAATTCCAAAACCAACTGTGTCAAGAAAAACAAGAAATCGCTATAAATATTGATAATGAAATAATAGCAGATAGTAAAATGGTAGAGGCCGATTTCAACAAATTGTGACGTGTCAAAAAGGTTCGTGAAGAAATTGCGGTCACTGCCAAGTCCTGCCCTGCTTGCTCCAATATATTCCCCACCATCCACCTGATTTGCATTTAGTGTGATTGGTGTTTAAACCACGATGACTAACTACGACAAGTCGATATTGGAAAGTGCGTTCCGTACAAAGGTGGTTTGCCCACAGCGATACAAACTGATGGTTTTTTTTTTGTTGGAAAATCTTGGTTATGACCGGAATTATATTGTGTTTAGACTGTGGTAGTATTGCAAGGGTGTTGCTTTATTTGCTTCGTTAGGATATAGTCGAAATTTCTGTTATTTGGGTTCAAGTGAGTTTTGGTATTCGTAAAGAAAACGCACCTCTATGAGTAGTACGAAAGAGATCCGTTGGTAACACTACTCAAAGTGTCACGACATGGACTTGGAAAGCGGGAGGTTTCCGGTTCGGGAGCAGTGCTGCCGTTAAGGTACTATTGTACCGCATTCGGTACTATTCCATGATTTTGATACGAAGATACTACCCGGATCAATATGTAGACTATTCGGTACTATTTACTATAATTCCAATTTTTTACATTTTCACGTTGACTCCCATCGAGTACAGTAAAAAATAACAACAATATGTGTGGCAACAACGCAATTCCGTGTTTCAACTTCCAGATCAGCAAATACCGTACTTGTGTCAAAATTGCGAGCTATCATCATATCTCCGCATTGTTTAATCCTGTGTTCTGTATTGTGCCTGTGAACTGTGGTTCTGTCATCTATCAGTCAGTCAGCAGAACAGCAGTTTCAACTTCTAACCTCACACCTCACCTTGAGAAATTGGTTTTATTGTTTTGTTAAAATAAAAAGGAATATGGACAGGTAAAAATAAATTCTCGAATCTAGCTACTTGAAAACGTCTTTAGTATTGTTCATTCTATTGTGACAGAAACCTAATTAAAACAAAACACATTTGCAATCGTGAAAGAGCAATTTGAAGAAGGAAAAAGACACCTTTTTATCAAATGTTCTGATTATGATCTTTCTTAGTTTCCAGCAAATTTTTTACTCCATATATTTTCCGAATTTAAATGGATAACATTATTACACGTTTGGCATTACTGGCATTTGGTCTGAAATGACTTATGCGCATTTGCCATGCCTAGTCTTGCGCAGTACATTTTGGGTACTATTTTCTTGTAAATTTCGGTACTTTTTGAATTGACGTTGCGGCAGCACTGTTCGGGAGCATTCTTTCGGGAGAGTTGGTGAGAGAAGGTTGAGGACAGTGTTGCCACAGCTACCGAAATTTCGGTATACCTACCGAAATTCATTGCTTTCTACCGAAATACCGAATTTTAACAAAATCTACCGAAAAAAATACAGACAAACCCAAGGAAATTAATTTTTTTTTTCTGTATGCTAAATAATAATTTGCATTTATAATATATTTACCAAGCTGTCTATATTCAGTAAAGCCTAGAGTAAACCGGAACCGCGGCGGTAGTTCCCCAACTTCAGTTTACGACATGGATTTGATTTCGGTGATTCCCCGTTTCAAAAGGGGAATTACTTTCGGTGATTTCTCGTTTCGACAGGGGAATTACTGTATTACAGAGATCAGTTACGAGTGGTGAGTGGTTATTGGGACTATTTGGCAGAGTTTATTGTTTTCTGGAGCATTTTGGCCGCAATTTTTGTACTTAGTGTATTACAACGATATTAATATGAGTGATTCGGAGAGTGGAAACGAAGGTTCAAGCACTGGGAAAAGAAAGAAATATGATCAAAACTACAAGGAGGAGTGGCAGAATATTGCTCAGTTTAAAGGATGATTAATGAAAAGTGAGAAAGACAGAACTTATGCCAAATGTAAGGTATGCAATAAAGACATAAATATTGCTAGCGGTAAAGATGCTTTAATAAAGCACAGTAAAGGAAAAGCGCATTTAACTAAATGTAAAAGCATTTTTCACGACAACCAGATATAACATATTTCACATCAGAGGCATCAACAGCAATTGTAGCAAAGCAACGGGTCAAAGAAGGTACGTAGTTGGACAATTTGATTATTCGAATTTTTTTTCAACCTACATTCGGATTAAACTTCAATCATATTTTTTAATTTGTAGGTGAAATCCGTTTAAGTGCCTTTATCGCTGAACACCATCTCCCATTCTCCGTAATGGATAATTTAGTGAAGGTAGTGGAAAAAGTATGCATGGATTCCGAAATTGCTAAAACAATGGCTTGTGGTAGAACCAAGACTACTGCAGTAGTGAAGAATGTTCTAAGGTAAGAAAAGTAAGTTCTCCCTGATTGTAGATGAATCTACAGATTTATGAATCTACAGATTTAAGTACCCAGAAGCACCTGTGTTTAGTGGTACGACATGTTGTGAACTATATTTTAGACGACTATCTTGCTTTAATTAACCTGTCAGCAGCTGATTCACAAACACTTCATAATCATGTTGTTGATTTTTTTACCAATCACGAAATTCCATTTAAATCAAATTTAATTGGTTATGATGGGTGAACATAATTCGCTTGTGGCCCTTTTAAGGAAAGATATACCCAACTTATATTCTATGAAATGCATATGTCATTCATTTCATTTATGTGCGTCATATGCCTACCAAAAATTACCAAGATATGTCGAGGACCTAACTCGTGATATATATAACTATTTTGGTTCAAGTCCAAAAAGAACATCAGAATTTAAACAGTTTCAAAATTTCTGTAATGTCAAGATACATAAACTTTTACACCCCTCACAAACTCGCTGGTTATCTGCACATGCAGTTATAGCTAGAATTTTGGAACAATATGGAGCATTACAACTGTATTTTATAGATGCTGTTAGTAATAGGGATTTATTAGCAGCCGAAAACATTTTACAAAAATTAAATGATCCTACTACGAAATTATTTTTGCAATTCTTAGATTTCGTTTTACCGTTCTTTACAAATTTAAATGAAGAAATACAATCCGAATCTTCAAAAATTCATATTCTTTATAAGAATGTTACCAACATTTTGAAAACAATTTATGACTGTTTTATTAACCGTAATATATTAAATACGACTTCTGTCGAAAACGTGGACTATAAAAATCCACGTAAGTTTCTACCTATTGAAAACATCTAGTTTGGAGCCAATGTTTTAAAATCAATATCTGAGAATAAACTTTCTCCGGATCAATTACATTTTTTTAGAACAAGATGTTTAGATTTTTATGTAGAGGCTTGTACTCAAATAATTCAAAGATTTCCATTAAAAAATAACCCACTCAGCAAGTTTCAGTTTTTGGATCCAGCTATTGTTAAAGATGGATCTGTCCAATCTCTGACAGACGTAGTGTTTATGCTTAAAATACCTGAAGATAATAAATTACAGGCCCTGGACACTGAATGGCGATTGCTACGGAACACCGAGGAGATTCATCGGCTAATGTCGAAAGAATATTCTCAGACATTACTTTCACCACAACTAAGCAACGAAATAGATTAGGTACTGATACTATTTCTGGACTGCTTCATACTAGAAGGTACTTTCGAGACCACAGTTGCTACGACTTTGAAATAGAAAAGAAGCATCTAATGACAATGAATGACAGATCGGCATTTTATAAAGGTGAATTTCAAAACAATTCCGATTCTGATGAAAACTGACATACAACTTTATTGTTTAAAAAATTTGTTATTTTTTATGGGAGTTTATTTTGTTAACCTATGTTACTTTTGTTATATTTTGACTTTGACTGATGTTTGGGATTGTAATATTAATATACCGTTTTGTATGCTGTGTTGTTCTGTTGGTAATATGTAATGTAACGTGTACGACATAAAAAATCTGTTTTTTACTAATTTTTTGGTTAATTTATTTTGTTTATATTTTTAGTTCTAACTGTTAATGTTAATTAAAATATATGTGCTCATTTAGATGAAGTTTAATAAAAACACATACTTATATGTTTAAAGTTATTTCCCGAATAAAATTTCTACCGAAATTTCGCGAAAACTACCGAAAAAAAATTGTTATTTCTACCGAAATTAGTATAATAGTCTGTGGCAGCACTAGGTTGAGGAAGAATCGTCAGAGTGAACGACTGAAGTCGTTACGCAATATTTCATATCAAAAGATATCTGCAGGTTTCTTAAGCCATCCTATGTTGGGGATTATCTGGATTTATTGCTGCGTTATAGTCTGAGTGAGGCGTTGTGGATTGTGAAGACGTCGTTTGATTGTTTTGGAATTTTGGGCACCCGATCAGGGGATTATAGCCTCTGACACACCTTTTTCATCGTTTTACCACTCTTGGTTTATTTGAGAGGAACCTTTGTGCGGTTCAGGTCCGAAATACGTCGTTTGGAGACCAGATTTGCTTCGTAAGCTCTTTTGGATGACCATATTCCTTTTAAGAGACTGAGTTCAAGTGCCGAGGTCTAGTTGGAGGGCAGGAAAGCTTTTCTGAAAGTCGTGCTTGTTGTTTTCAGTCCAAGCTTCAAATGGGAGACTGCCGATCCAAGATCCTACCCCTGCACGATTTGTTGGAGGTTCCAAGATCCAGCTATTCCTGTTCCAGACACACCGTTAGGACTACAAGTCCATCCGGATTCAGATAAGTGATTGAACACAATTGAAACATACTTCTATTTTGCTTTATTCATTATCAGATATATCGTCGGCGTCAGTGCAGGACCTTCTAAATGCACAACACCTTTTTTTAACTAAAAATCTTCTAAATAATAACACGGACGAGTAAATGCAATTTTCTTTGGATCTAGAGTAATGAATTTGACTGCTTGAGCATGGGATGAGAATTTAGTTGAAAAATAAAATCATTTGATATAAAGACAGCACTTACAAGGAAATGCACTTATGATCCAGAATAGGAATAAGATAAATACAAGGTAATGCATTATTCTGAAATGAAGCAATCTTGTATTCATCATGTATTATGTATTGACAAATAAAGAGTACTCATTAATTGCGATGAGGTAGAGATTCATAATACGGCCAACAATCCCTGGGAATCACATTTTTTATCTCCTGTAAGTCTTTGAATTTTCTCTCAGTAATTGCTAATGGGGCGGAATGTAATTTTGAAAATTCAACATAAACTCAATATCATGTTTCGCCTTGAGCGGACAATTCAACTGTAAGCAGATGACACCGCAATTGTTTATTCCGGCACAGATAAACTCCAAATAAAACATCAAATAGAAGAAATCTCCCATATCGAAAAATGGTTAATTCATTATAAATTAACTCTCAATGCAAACAAGTCAAACTATATGATAATAACAAGGAGCAATCCATGGTATGGTATGACAGTTGAAATTGGAACAAGTCACCTAACCAGAACAACTTCTATCAAGTACCTTGAGCTTTATATTGGTGACAAGCTGAAGTGGGATAAAAATATACAGCAAATATGTAAAAAAAATAGGCCCTGCTATAGATGTCTTGGAAAGAATTTTAAAATTAACTTCTGTAAGCCACAGAAAAACACAAGAAAAACAAACAATAATGGATGCAACTTTTAAATGCTGTAGAAAATAGGAATGCCCAAATTTCGTCTGTAAACAGTGTTTGAGTATATTCCACCAGAGTCGTATAGAGAAAAAAACCACACGGCTAATTAGTCCGGTCAAGTTAGACTAAAAAATAAGAGTGAAGGTACATACATTTACAACGAGTTGCAAATGCGTGTAATTGTTCAAAACATAGTTAAAAATAAGATTTCAAAATTCCGAATGATTGCGATTCCTGGAAAAAAATGTATTCGAGGTCAAAGGTCATAAAATAACCTCAGATAAAAATCGTAGATCATAAAATTCTCTACAAAAAATGTATCAATACTTTTTTCTTAGAGCCACCGTTTTTGAGATACGACGAGTTAAAAAATTGTAAAAGTTGTAATCGTCATTATATGTATAAGTATGCCACGTATATACATCTCCGAAGTTGTAATTTAAGTAAAAATATTTTTCTATTGGTATACATAAGTATAAATATAAGAATATTAGGTAGAATGAAATCCAGTCCCTTAATTTCTATATATTGATTAAACAGGCTAATAACGATGCCGACGTACTGATTATTGAAACAGCTATAGAGCAATTTAATTTGACAAATACAACTATTGTTGTTGGTGAAGATGTAGACTTCCTCGTACTTCTTACTGCTCGAACTTCATTTGAAAAAACTATTTTCTTTCTAAAGCCAGGAAAAGCTCAAAGTCAAACCAAAATATATGTGCTGAAGAAATTATTACCAACGGGATTCAGTTTCTTCTTTCTATGTACAAAGCTCCTCAGTTGCTGCTCATCAACATCTTTTCCGGATATATTACCAAGTTCAAGTGTGGCTTGGTTATCAGCTAGACCCAAAAGACTGGGGTTGGAAGTTGGTCGACAATGCATTAGAACCTATTCAGACTTTACTCCCACCTGCGCCGGAAAAACTGCTGAACACAGAGAACTGAACACGAGAATCATAATCTCCGACCCCAAAAACCCCTAGATACCAAATTTGATTCGAATCGGACTATAATCACAAAACTCGTTCACCATATGAGGTCTCCATTTTGTTTTTTCTGTTAACAAAAATTTCATAATGCATTGTCACCGGGATTATGTACACCTGCAAAATCAATCGGATGATTAGAACTGATTAGAACCAAATTACATTGTTGGTTAGTTTGTTACCTGCAACTGAACCTAATCCTACAAGCTTATAAATAAAAGCTTGTTTTAAATATACGTTATGTGCTCTAACCCGTAATTATAATTTTGACCACTTCCTGTGAAATATCCAGTAATAAATATTTATTCCCAATAATTTCAGAATATCCCATTTACATTTTATTGAAGAAATATTAAAATATGTGTTCGCGCGCCGCTGTTCTAGGGGCGTGGCTACTACCGCAAACTTTTTCTGATTATTCTATCGCGCCTGAATTCAGTCAACTAGTGATGATCTGGTGTGAATAATTTGCCTAACTAGTGGCGTTTGTATAAATTTAATTTTGCAAAATATGATTTTATAATTATTTTTTTTCAACTGAGTGTCTTATTGTAAGCTACATATGCATTGTAAGGTTTGGACGAAGAATTTTCAGTAAACATTATCCTGTGCAGAAGTTCAATAAAACTCCTTCAAACAAGACATTTCACACAATAATATTTGGAAAAGTATTTTATTTTTTCAAAAAATCTCTTCGTCCAAACCTTCCATGCCCTTTTCTGAATATAATGAAACGAGCAGAAATCCTTTAAACATATCTGTCATTACACATTTTGATAAAGCGTACGTGTCTGTAGGCATACCCGGCAAAACCGGATCTCTCACTCTTAAATTCCAAATTAACTGTTAACACTTTTATATTTGCTCACCCTCACTCTCCTCGGCCATCATACGGAAAATTATTGAACTGTCAACTACACAGAAGTTAATCCACAAGCATACAGACGGTTGTGAAGTATGTATAGATAAGTTTATAACAAATCATGTGTCATTGAAAGTATTTTATCACTAAATAGCCTTATTTAAATATTTCCAAAACAAGCACTTTTCCCAATTATCCGAAATACAATTATGTTCTTGACGCGAGTTTAACCAACTAAGTTGAGAGTATTGTATTCCTGGTGATTGGGAAAAGTACTTGTTTCAATTTTTTTCTACGCCAGTGATTCAAATTTTACCTTTTATCTTATGTATATATTCAAATACAAATAGACATTTTGAGTCGATCCGTTTGAGTTTTTCTACATCTCTAAATTCTTTTTTTCAGGAAGGAGTAGAAAGGACTGATAAGAAACACTATAAAGAAAAAATGACATTTTGTCTTTATAGTGTTTTTGTGTGACAAAGATGTTTCACATTTCTCCAGACATCTGAGAACTTGACACCCAAATAAAATAGAAGTTCAACGTCTAAAATCATACAAAAGTAATTCAAAACAAAGGCGTCAGGCTTCGAGTGTTTTGGAAAAAAAGAGGAAATTATGTGAAAAATCGATCTACTTTGCAACTGATGCCAGTGAGGCGGGTTGAATCAGGAATACTGTTATGTAGCAGTGAGTTTCTTCCCTGTTCCCATTGTTTAGGGTTTTATAAAAAGAAGAGTTTATAAAGGGTGTAACTGAATAAGTGTAAAACATTCAAAGAGGTGATTCCTCATCGAAAAAAAGATAGGATATTTCATATAAAGAAATTTCATTGGAGCATCCCTTGTTAAGATACAGCCCCTTAAAGCGGGTACATAAAATTTGTGTAACAATTTTTTTCACAAGCACTAAAAAAGTTACAATATTGAAATTAACCTGACGTTTTGTACTACTAAAAAGACACTTAGCCATAAACTTATTTGGTTTACCCCATGGTTGTGAAGGGTGGAAAATGCAACCCCTAAAAAATACGTAGGACATTGATGCTATCAATATCTGACGCGCTCCAGTATGTCCACGCAATAGTATTTATTACATATTTAAAAATCTATAGCCGCTTCCCCCACCGATGACAAGGTATATATTATATAACATTTTTTTCTTCTTATCATCTGAGCTTTGCAACCTAATATGTCTCTATGACTCTCGAGTAAATCCCCAGTTTAAACAGTTTTGCAAATACATAAATAACAATCTATGTATGATGTGCAGTTTTTATGTCAAGTTTATAGAGTGGAGACGTAAATAGCCCCCACTCCCTCATAACTTTTGAACGGGGCAAGTCGTGCAAAATGAAAAGGGCAATTGTGTGACACCACTCGCCTCAGAGAGGGCGCTGTCAACTTTTCTTTCAATAGAAAGGGGAGTCGTGTGACTCTTCCTTCTCTATACAATGATCCTGAATGTTTTGAATTTGAATAATCGATTGAGAAGTTATGTGTGTATAAATTGAAGACAAGAATGATTCCTTTTTAGAAAAAAATTGTCAGAAATCTATTGAGGAAGGTATTGTTTAAGTTCAAGACAAATGAAATGACTGTGTACCAAGGGCATGTCGAAGATTGTTCATTTGCATGTTTATACTAAACACTATACTTTGCTCTTGCCATATGAAGAAGAAGAAGTTTACAGAGTAGAAGAAATCAAGGAGTTCGAGAAAATATCTCAAAGTTACAAAGATTGGCTTGCTGAAGTCCTTCAACAAGGTAAATGGATGTTCCAGTCTGGATGTTATGTAATATCTGGTTGGCAAGTCGTTTGCTTTCAATTCATAGTTTGATAATGCCTCTTCATTTCAACTAATGAGGGTTCAGGTATTTCGAAATGACAGAATGAATATTATTGGAGTTCTATGACAATACCAAACCGTTACTTTTAATACGTTACTTCAATCACCAAATGATTATCTTCAATAGTAATACCTTATTATTCTATAGTAATAACAGATTAAATATCAATGCAAGTTTCTCGTTTATGGAAATATCCAATAAGGATATCTTTGAAGCTATCAATAAAATAAAATCAAATGCTTTCAGTATCGATAATATCAATATCAAAATTATTTCATTTATTATTCCACATTGCATAGATGAAGTAAAACATTTTTAATGAGTCTCTGAGGCAAGGCATTTTTCCTGATCTTTGGAAAATTGCTAATATTTTACCCACTTCCAAAATACCTATACCCACCTGTTTCAACGAGTTACGTCCAATAAGTATTTTACCGGCATTCTCAAAAATTTCAATATTATCGGGATT